GAGTTGTGCAGTAGTACTGGTTCCCATGACTCTCATGGTTATATCATGAGACATTGAGGCATAAAGCTATCCAATAAGAAGGGAATCACTAGAAATCCACTTGATGTATTCTGGATTTTCTTCCTATTTGATTGTAGTTCCTGATTCAGTTGTCTCTTGAACAGATAGGAACTCAGGTGGACAGAGCTTCATTCCAAGCAAATGTCCTTCAAGATTATGCCCTTTCACAATGGGCATAACCATTTTTTCCCATAACAAAAAATTGTCTCTATCCAGCTTAATGGAGAGGTTTTGAGTTAGGTTTAGAGTGGTTGATTGAAGTCGACCTGAGTGAGTTGCTGAAAGTGAAGATGAATTGGTTTGAGACTGCGTTTCCGAAGAATCAGCCATAGCTCTCATACCAAGAAGAAATTATCGAAGTGAAGATGAGTTTTTACTGATAAATTACTCAAATTCCAATTCAATTCACAATACTCATTACAGAGACAAGGTTCTCTATATAGCAAGAAATCTATACATACAATACATGAATGTAATATTGCTAAATATCTAAAAACTGAATTGTACTGCGTGACGGTAACACCATCAATTATTCATATGGAGAACCCCTAAACTAATGGAGTTGCCGGCTGAAGAAATCTGCAGAAGAGGCTCACCACGACAAACAGTACGGAGAGAGAAAAAGAATGTTGCACAAGAGAAAAGCGTGTTTTCCACCCTTTACGTTTTATCAAACTTTGACTTCTGATCAAATTCATCCTCCAAGTTTCGGTTAGATGAATATGGTCCTCTAGTTTCAATTTTATCTTTGCAATCTTGTGAAGAGACCTTGCACTTGATTGAAACTTATGATCCCTTTGAAAACATAATTAGAAGTCAATTTATACTTTTATTTAATATGCAGTCCCAATTCTCAATAAAGTTGTTACAACGTTGGTTCATAGCCTCCATTTACCTTTTATTTTGGTTCCGGTTATTAAATTCAAAATTTTAATATTTTCCGTTTGTTGCATGCTTGTTTTCATGTCGAATATATCAAAAAAGGTTATTCTTCCAAACTTGGCAGTTTCATCCTGTATGACCTTTATTGTCATGGCTCCATTGCATTCATCAATTTCCTTAGTACTTCAGGATTTTTTATTATACCAATGCTTACAAAGGTCCGACTAAATTTTATTTCGAACATTTGATCAATGCCGCTAACGAGCCAATAATTCCTACAGATGATGAAGATCGAATAAAACTTCAGGCTTAGGCTGTTCATGGGAATAAATGGACATCAATTGCAAGGTTTTTGCCAGGAAGAACAGACATGCAATCAAGAACTGTTGGAATTCCACATTGACGCGTCGCTGCATGCAAATTGGAAAATTTAAGTTGGAACCCATCAATCTTATGGAAGATACCAGTGCAGAAAAATCGAAAGCATCAAAAGTCCATGTGGCGATGGCAATTCATTCAAATCCTCTGAAGGGAAAGGTGTCTACTCTTTAGAACTTTCGAGCAAGCACCATGAAGAGAGGATTAAGACATACAAGCCAAATTAACCACCACCATGACGCGCATAGTTACTAAAATCCTTTCGACCATCGAGTTTGGTATAGCAATTAAAACCCTATTGCAGTATTTGAATTTCATTGAATTTACCCCAACTTTTCAGGTCCACTAGGACAGTAATGTTGGTTAGCCAACAACCCAACTAACGACGCAGCAGACAGCGATAGCATGAGCATTTCATTGCTACCCAATTCTTTTTTCTCCCTCAATGCTTTTAGTTGGACTCTCCATGATAATAAACCATATTAAACAAGTAAGAAAAAATATTGTACTTTTCCTCGAGAAACCCATCCAATTTCTCAGCATTTTCACTTTGCATAACTGAAGCACTCAACAATTTCTTCACAAATGGGGAGTTAAAGGATCATCTAATCCAATACAATTGATATTAAACAAGAAAAGTTTAAAGTTTATCAGCCATATAATTTCTCAACGTTCAATCTTTCGTATGATACGTATATTTAACATGGGTGACTCAAATAAGTTCTGGCCTTATACAAAATCCCTGAGGATGACTTAATATTAAGATGAAGAAGAAAGGAATTCACATTGAAAAATAGGATCGTTGACGGAATCATCAATGATATTTGACAATTATCAGTATTTGTTGACGAGCAGAACGGAATTACCAACAAAAACTCCGTTAGTGATGACCAATACACATTCATTAGTGATTAGTGATGATTGATACACGTCCATAGTGATTAGCGATGACAAGATGACAATGTTGCAACGTGAAATTGTTAGCAATTACCGACGGTACTTTTGTAGTTGATCGCTGCAGACGAAGCATTTATTATTTCTTCACTTTTTATTTATTTAATATTTCGTCATTATTTTAGAGTTTCTTCTTCCTTTCCATCTTCTTCT